CAGAGTGTACAGGGTCTGGGTAGAGAAAGCCGCTGTGAGATGGTTTCCAGGAAACGCCGGGTAGATTGAAGTCACCCAGAACGATTATCTCATCAGTTGGTGTCGCACTCTCCATTATGGTGAAAACGGACCGGCAATGGGTATCGATAAGTTCGTTGTCACGAACCCGGTCAGTATACACCGCACATAGGTACAGTGTGCGATCGCTCAGTTCTACGCCCACCCAAACTTGTTCCACACAGTTCCACAAGACGTTTTCAATAGCTCTCGCCTTTAACCCGGAACGAACTGCCACGAGAACACCACCTCCAGTAGATTTCCGATTGTTTTTCGGATTTCTGTCACAGCGGAAAACCTCGTATTCGGATCCGAACACCTGGATGGAATGGAATACAGGAAAGGCTGCCTTCCTATAGGATACTACTGCTGCTGCGGTTGCTGCTACCTGCTCACCCGTCGTCCGGAGCGAAAATGAGTTGAGGTACAAAAGCAGCGCTGTTTTATAACTTTTCAGATTCAAGCAGCACGATGTGCGACCAAATGAAACTCGATTATGACTACTGGGTTTGGGGAGAACGTTTATTTCATGAAAACAGTGATAAAATTATCACTTTTTATTTGTACATTATGAACGGCGCCGGTGGTGTAGTGGTAAGCGTGATTACCTCTCACCCCAGCAGGCCTTGGTTCAATCCCAGTCGGCGCCGCCGGGATGTTCTGAGGCATAACATCTCTGATCACGCCTTCCTTCGGATGGGAAGTAAAGCAGTTGGTCCCCGGTTCATGAGTTGATGGGTCGATAGGTAGGGTCCAGGTGTGGGAGCTGCCTTCCTGGCACGTCGGTAGCATTGGTGCTCAGCACGGAAAACAAGATCGAGGGAAAAAACAAACCAAAGGAAAAAAAAAAAAAAAAAAAATTGTACATTATGGAATTGAAAAAAACGTTTATTGTAGCAGAATATGAGAGCTATTTCCTATCCATTGGTGTATTTGAATTTTAATGACAAAGTTATAAGCGTTCAAAACCTTACACCTTTTCATGACGGTCGTAATTTTTTTTTCGATTTACCCCCAGTACCTTCCCGTAAGACGTAGTCTACGTAAAAAAATATATTAAGGGTTGTGTCCTAGACACGACCGCAGTATGACGTAGAACTATGCAAAATTGGTGTATGTCGTGCATTTTTGACTAAAGGGTGATACGGTCAAAATTTGGTCAAGGGAAAACGCGTGTAAATCGGTGAAATCGTTTATTTAAAAAATCAAATTAAATTTCTTTTTCAAGTTCAATTAGTATAAAATTCAGGAAAAATGTTCAGTTAGGCTTCCGCTTTTCCAAATCCGAATTGCCGGGCCTTACGCTTGACCCCTGCCATCAGATTTTGTACAGCCACCTTGTCCACCTTCTTCGCCGCAGAAAGCCAGTTTGCCTTGAACTGCTGCTCGCCCTTAGCAGTTTTTTTGGTCTTCTTTAGGTTCCGCTTGACAATAGCCCAGTATTTCTCAATTGGGCGGAGCTCTGGCGTGTTGGGAGGGTTCTTGTCCTTGGGAACCACCTGCACGTTGTTGGCGGCGTACCACTCCATGGCCTTTTTACCGTAATGGCAAGATGCCAAATCCGGCCAAAACAGTACGGAACAACCGTGTTTCTTCAGGAAAGGCAGCAGACGTTTATTCAAACACTCTTTCACGTAAATTTCTTGGTTGACAGTCCCGGAAGCTATGAAAATGCTGCTTTTCAAGCCACAGGTACAGATGGCTTGCCAAACCAGATATTTCTTTGCGCACTTTGACAGTTTCATGTGCTTGAAAACATCTGCTACCTTTCCCCTTCCTTTTGCCGTATAAAACTCCTGTCCCGGAAGCTGCTTGTAGTCGGCTTTGACGTAGGTTTCGTCGTCCATTACCACGCAGTCAAACTTCGTCAGCATCGTCGTGTACAGCCTCCGGGATCGCGCTTTGGCCGTCGTATTTTGTTTATCATCGCGATTTGGAGTCACTACCTTCTTGTAAGTCGATAGTCCGGCTCGTTTTTTGGCTCGATGCACGGTTGTAGACGATACACCCAGCTTATTTGCGGCATCTCGGAGAGAGAGGTTAGGGTTTCGCTTGAAACTACCGGCAACTCTCTTTGTCGTCTCAGCGGCTTCCGGTTTTCGATTTCCCCCCGATCCAGACTTCCTGGCTGTCGACAAACGTTCTCCAAACACTTTAATTACATTTGTAACGGTTGATTTGGCAACTTTTAGCGATTTTGCCAACTTTGCGTGCGAGTAGCTCGGATTTTCGCGATGCGCGAGCAAAATTTTGATACGCTGCTCTTCTTGCTTGGACGGCATTTTGACAACTGAAGAGTGAATTCCAAAATCAAAATAGGAGCAACATTCTACACACACACACCTTCAAAATGAGGGGTGTTCAGGTTTTTTAAATGCAAAATTGAAAGAAATACGTCAAGTTGATATTGACCAAATTTTGACCGTATCACCCTTTATTGTACTTTATCTTAAATTTTTCAAGTATTACAATGTTTCGTTTATGATTCAACGTACGTGTATCTCTTAGCGGAAGTGAATATTCACTGTAATTATTTTGAGCGGCATTATGTACTACCGCAAACTACTTTATCAGAAATAATCTCAGTGATTATTCACTTTTGTTAACAAACACATCTACCTTGAAAAGCAACCGTTTCGTGAGGAGTGTGTGAGTGAAGACCACGATTTGAGTCCATTTTTATAGTGGATGCGCAATGCCCCCCTTTGGCAATGTTGCCATACCTTGAAACCACTGGAAGTGAATGGAGGAAGCTTTTTGGATAGCAGAAGATAAAATATTTTTTTGTATTGTACCTCATGACTATAGTTTTAAGATGTATTGTACAGTGAACAAAAAATCTCGGCACTGTAAAGTTTATTCGATTGTGCCTAGTAAAATAAAGTAATTAAAAAAAAATTACATAATGTTCTCATGATAGCATTTTATTAAACGTTTTTATTCAGCAATTAATTTGAATCATGGCTGGACTGAAAAATGCATGATGGCCTAATATATAAAGAACCATTTGTATGCTTAAGAGCCCGCAAGGCCGAGTGTAATAAACCAAACAACAGTCGCTAAATGAAAGATATTATGATCACATAGAGCACAGATTTTTTGGAATCGGTCAACCGGTTCCGAAAATATGAGCGGAACATGCTGCGGTTTATATAAAGCATGAGGCTAATTGCGACCTCAAACGAATAAAACTTAGCATGTGACACCTCAAATCACATTAGAATGAAAAAAAAAAACTAGTTCAATGATAGTCATTTTGGGACCCTGTGACACATTGGCCATGTTTTGATTCCTCCGGACAAGTGGCCAGTTTCTGAATATGGTCAAAAACCATTGAATCATTAAAATTCAACAACCAGTTCAATGGCAGTTATTAGGAATAGCCAGGATCCAATTTCCGGAAACCCTTAGGAAAGTAGCCAGTTTTAGGCTTGGATTTGTATAAATGAACCCAAGTCTCCTTCGACCTCATCGCTGGTGATCACACCGTAGTCCACCTCGCTTGTGTACTTGCCAGCTAGCACATGCCCTGCTTACATTATGCTGGCTACTTTTTGCACAGTGCTATGCTAGTACACTAGCGCTACACACTTAGAAAAAATCATGTAAATTTAGGTGCTCTGAGACTGCCATATACGACCTAAAATTGAGTCATAACAGACGCGAAATTCAACTCAATCAAATTCAGGTTTTCGTCGAGAAACAAACTTTTCAGTCTCGGAGCACTTAATTTTACATGAAATATTTGTTTACGTCTGATCCTTTATGTCGAAGAAGGATTCCGTCACGTGTAAAATTAGTAATTTCTAAGTGTGTAGCAAATCCGCATAGATGTAAACAACATTAGCTACTGACTCGCTCCTGCCTGCTGCAGGACCCAGTGCCACGCCATCCGAAGCGGTAATGAGCATAGGCACGACAGCAGCGTTGTTTTATATCTTTTCAGATTCAAGCAGAACGATGTGCAACCAAGTGGTACTCGATTATGACGACTGGGTTTGGAGAAAACATTTATTTCATAAAAATATTTATAAAATTATCATTTGTAAATTTTTCAAAAGGTTTTTATGGAAAATTGGAAAAGCATTTATTTCAGAAAATGCGTAAAGTAATATCCTATTGATTGGCGTATTTGGATTTTTATTTCATCTATAAATGACAAAGTTATAAGCGTTCAAAACCTAACACTACTTCACCACACATATTTTTTGATTTGCACCCCAATATAGTCGACAAAGACGTAGTTCTACGTCAAAAATAGCGGCTATAGTGAATCATTATATCAGTGATTTTGTCAAATTATCTTAACAAAATAAGTAGAAATTCTCATTATTGTCCGATCATTACCAAATGTTACTAGGCAATTTAATGCTCATTGCGTATTTATGATAATATCTTCGATTATCCAGTATTTTACGATCGCTTATGGTCGCCACAATCTGGCTGATTTTCTTGTAGGTAACCTAAGATTTGAAGTTTGGGTTGTGATCAAATTTGAACGTTTACACTCAAACTCAAACGTCAAATAATATGTTCCCCACCAAAAACCCATAAGCACTCATAAAATGCTGGATGTTTGATATTTAATTGCAATAGCTGTCGTTTTTCACATGGAAATTCTCCAAAAAAAATGTGTCGAATTTTATGAGTTTGTGGTTGTGATTTATGCGGAAAGATTATTCTAAAAAATCATTAATTTAATAAAAATGGACGAGCCATTGGTGGACCCCCATGCATCCATCCTTTTTGTGGGCACAACCACCTAATCTCATTTTCTCCCTTTTTATAGCACAGACCTGTTGGTCCATATTTTTGAAGCATCTCATTTTCTTGCAGCTCTCCGATAATCTCTCGCGCTTTATTTCTTGGACTTGACAGCCGCGCTTCGCGCCAGAAATTCCCTCTCCTGATTTTGTTTTCATGTGTTTTGCATTAGTGGCTCGGTCCCGGTGGTTCAAAAATTTGTGTAGCTCTCTTTAAATGTTGAAATTTCCCAATTAATTTACATTATTCTTTGGACATTGTGACTGGAAATGGTGTCCAAGTGTGTTTGGCAGTGAAATTGAATGGAATAACGTGAGAGTGTTGGGTATTTTGGAACATTGGTAGGATTTTATTTCGTGACGGGACTAGGGGCTGCTCAGAAAAAAAAACTACGTTACTCCTTAAAAGGTGGAAGGCCTGTCGGTTCAATATCCGCTTCGGGAATGAAGCAGTGACTTCATTTTGGTGAAAATGATATAACTAGAGCATAATTACTGGCTGAAAAAGGATTCTTGTTTTGGAGCCTCGGCATTAAAGCGCGCGTGCCTTTACAACCTTCTACTTCTATCGGTAGCAGATTTCCGATTGGACTAGGAACTTGAGGGCGCACCACTACCAGTACATTCAGGTATGTAATTATTTTTCTTCGCTTTATTTTTATCCTCGATGCGGCTTGTGAGGTGCAGGGTTGGTGTCTTGGGAAAGTCAAATTTATCTCACTCGAATGCAAGGAAATTCTCACCGTGGTCGCAGTTCTATAGTGAGCCATGCAATTGCGTGACCCCTCGGGCTGTCAGATAAGAGGAAGAAAGCGCGATGCAAAGAGCGCCAGTAGTGCATCAGCGTGCGTGTTGGTGTTGTTTGTAAAAGTGCGGAGAAAAGCATCACAAAGCCACAGACGACGAACGACGAAGGCGACGGATTGAGCAACAAGAAGAAAATCATGCCCGCCACGGGGATCACGGCGACGGCGAAGGGGGTTTGTGTTTTCTGTTTTGATTATCACTAGCCAGTGTTGCATTTTTGTAAGCGCGAAATTTTCCTCCAGCTGTTTTTGTTGACACCCCCACACCAATCAAGCTCATTGTTTCAGCAGTGTGTCCCTTTAAATCCCGTTATATAAGCCATAAATAGCGTTCCCATGGCGAACCACCACCACTAATGTAGTGCAGTGACCTCATTTCCGATACTGTTCCTCTCTTGCAGAACTTGGGCATAGTTCTTCGCGCCCGTCGTTTCCCGACCATGACTAGTGGGATAAAGCTTCCGGGCCATGACCAGTACGAGAAGCTCCGGAAGACGCTCCAGTCCGGCGGACGGTCACAGATTGACAAGATATTGGAATCGTTGGTGAAGGCCTGCCAGATAAAGCGAGAGTATGTTGGGGAGAAGCAGAAGCTCGATGATGATCAGATGAACTTTTGGTTCAACGACGTGCTGCGGTTGCTGTTCGATTGGGAGAATCCCTTGACGAGGGAGCTCGCCCTGAGGGCATCGGAAGCGATTCTGCCACACTTGGAGCAAACGCTCTATCTGGACTCGCCAGCGTGGCCAGCACTGAAGACGCAAATCAGCAACGTGTATTCCAACCTGTTGGAACAGGCACGGGGACGGAACGATCCGGAATGGCATCGGAAGTGGTCCGTGCTGGTCCGGATACTGGATAAGGAAATCTGCCAGGGAGCTGTGATCATCAACGTGTTCCTGGCCATCGTGGAAAGCGGATTCCGCTCGTCGGAATTGCTGGTTCGCGAGCAATCGTTCGACTGCTGGATGCTGCTGGTGGAGATTTTCGCCAAGTATAACCAGATTCACATCCAGAAGAGAATTAAGCTGATCTGTATACCGCTGAAGAGCTCGAAATCCAAAACGGAGGTGATTGCCAAGAAGAAGTTCGAAATTTGGTGGTTTTTGATCAACAAGCTGCAAAACCAGCTGGAAACACATGCGGATAATGTTTTCGAGCCGTTCATCTACTTTTGCTTTGGACCATCGTTCAAGACACCCCTGTGCTACTACTTTGACGAAAGCTATCAGGAGTTCGGGGCTCCCGGGAAGATGTAAGTTTGTTAGCAAGGATATTTTTGTTGTTTTTGAATTAATGACCTGTTCTGCTTCAGTTACAATTCCATCAAACAACTGTCGGCGGCCGCCCTGATTCATCTGTTGGGTCCAGCGGAAAAGGTCACCGAAACGCTTCATCACGACGTTAGTAGTGGTGGGGCCAAGAACGAAGTGAAAAGCTTCGGCGGCCCAACGAGTGGTGATAAGACCATCATTTCGCCGAAGCTATTTACGCTGAAGGCGAAACTGATCATCAATTCATGTACCGAGTGCACGGTGCTGTTTTCCCAGATGAAAGATAAAGACTACATGAAGTTAAACCGGTGCCTGTGGACGAACCTGCTGGCAATGATCGAGCAGGAAAAGGTGATCCCTCGGTCGGAGATGCTCGGTTGGATAACGGAGAATTTGGCGGCCCTGATCAGTTTGGTAAGTTAGCGAAATGTTTGAATTTTCGTCGCAAGCTTAAATTTTGATTCTTTATTCCACACCGTCAGTGCACTCAACTGAAGGACGAAGCGATGCGTGAACTCCTCTACGACACCGTACAGATGGTTGCCCGAACCAATCTTCTGGCGGTGACCATCGGACAGGACAGTCCCGAGCAGCTGGTCTCCAATTACCGCACCTTCATGTCACTGCTGTTTAATCCGGACTTGGACTACCCTGCAGGGTAAGTTTGGTAAATTTCATAACCTCACCCCACGGGGAAATAAACCCAGACTGTTGCTTGCAGCACTTCCTTCACAATCTTGTCACACGTGTTCGATTTGCGACGATACTCGAGCTCCCAGCGGGCTAGCTACTGGGACATGCTGCAGAAAACGACCCAATACCTGATGGATCTGGAACCGACTGTGCTGCAAAATAGCGTTCCCAAGTCCACCTCCAACCGCCGAATGGTGACGCAAATCTACCGCTCGATGGCCCTGCATCTTAAGGAACAGATCGACTCGCATCGGGACCAGTTTGAACAGTCGCAATCTATTGTGTATGGGTTTCTTCTTTTCCCATTGGAGTACGATCGGTTCCTGGAAGTGGACGACGTGCGCGACGTTTGGCAACAGGTTTACGCTGCGATGGTAACCGGCCAAAAGTCAACGCGGTATGCTTGCGGGATGAGCGAGGTCATTAAGGCGATGACCGTTGCCAAGTACAACTGTAATTTGGGAGTGATACTGGAATTCTTCCGAATGGTGCTGGAGTCGATACCGGGAGATTTCGACATCGGAGAACCTCCGCTCAAGACGATCGAACTGTTCAAGGATCTGGTGCGGAAGGCTTTGGTGTTCCAGAACAGTCTGATCGAAGTTGGGAAGGGGGTGGTATCGTTCCGGAAGCTGATTGAAAAGATGACCACGAAGGGACTGCTACTGGTCATAATGCCGATTCGGAATGTGATTAGTGAGTTGGTTTGTGGGGAGAGTGAGACCCTGAAGGAGGAAGTGAAAGGAACGTTGAAGACGCTGGTAGATCGATTTGGGGCGGGAAGATTCGTGACGGAGCTGAAATCACAGCCGAAGGAGGTTAAGTGGAATTGTAAGATGTTGATTGTTCAGTTGTTGGAGCTGCCGAGTGAGATGCAGAAGCAGTGGAAGATGGGAGAGCTGAAGAAATTGGTGGATATATGTGAGGGTAAAGAACCGACCAAGTCGCCGAAACCAGTCAAGAAAGAAGGGGAGTTTGTTGTTATCGAGAAGGTGTGGAAGTTTACTCCGGACAAACTGACAGAGCATCAAAAGGATCGGATGAAGGAGAAGAGACACGATATTCCGGCACTTTATAACGACTTGAGCCAGTCACAGGATAGCTTTGTGATCAAGCCGTGGACGCCGAACAAGATAGTGATTCCGTCCGACGAGCGGCAGGATCACGATACGATAGTTATGTGCGCCAGTGGAGAGTCCAGTTCGGTCCCGAATGGAGGAGCACCGGAGGCTTCGGTCCCGAAGGAGCAAGGAGCCGGAGTTTCTACGGAGAACAAATTGGACAAGGAAAACAACAATGGAAATGTTCTGAACTCGGATGAACAGGCAGATGCGACCAGTTCGACGACCGTTCCCGTGAAAAAAAGAGGGAAGGTAACCAGAGAATTGGATTTGTTGAAAATCGACACGATCGAAGGGAAGAATTTACAGGTAACGAGGTTGGCCAGGACCAGAAGGGCTGGAAGTCTGGAACCCTCTGGATCTACCAGTAGAAGAAAGAGCATGGATCCGAAAAAAATAACTGAGAGAAGCAAAAAAATTGAATCGGAGAACAGGCGAACCAGACGGAAAGCCGAAAAAGTCACTGAAAATAAGGAGATTAACCAGGAACCTGCAACATCTCCGGCCAGGAAGAAACCGGATGACAGATCAAAGAGTCCGGCGGAACGTACTTCCCCTAGAAAGGCCCTGAATTTCGACAATGTCGTCGACAAAGAACCCACTGCAGCAAACGAAGCGCCTTCTACCAGCTCTCCCGTCAAATCGAAGGCCGCCAACGAGTCGGTTGACGAAATCATCGAATCATCCCAAGCGAACACCCAGTCTCTTCTATCCCGGAAGTACACGCCCCGTAAGCCGAAAGAGGACGAAAAGGAAGAATTGTCCAAAGTTGGCACCGAAACTCTTCCATTCGATACGGAAGCTGAGCAGGAGCTGGACAAGCTTAGCCGAAAGTCACCCATGAAAGCCAAAGCGGAAGACGTGGTAAAGTCGCCCAGCAAAAATACTAGAGCGGCTGCGGCAGCTGCCCAGCAGCATCAGGTCACCGAAATGAAAACGGAACCCAACACCGAACTACCGGAAACCGTACCGAACACGGAACCATCTGAACCCGCACCTTTGGTCACCCAAATTGATCTAAAGTCCAAGACTGCATCCCCAGCCAAATCTCCGGCCAAAAGTCCGAGGAAGGGCAAGCGATCGATTAGCCCGGGTCCGGAACCGATGGAAACGGAATCAAACACTGAACCCGCACCTTCGCAGCCCGAGACTGAACCCAATACGGAAGCAGTTGTATCCGAACCTCCGGTCACTAAAATTGACCAGAAGTCCAAGGTTGCATCACCGGCAAAATTAGCAACCCCAGTTAAGTCTCCGGCCAAAAGTCCAAAAAAAGGAAAAAGATCGGTTAGTCCGGCTGCGAAACCAACGGAAGCAGAACCTGCACCGCAGTCTCCTAATAAATTCGACAAACCGGAAGAAGATCCATTCACATCTCCGAATCTTTCACCGGTGCGAAATTTGGACGAGGACATGGAACCACTGGTCAAGAATCTCAACCGTAGTGTGGTGTCGTCACCGGGCGGACTAGACCAGGAACAACGGGAAGCAGACCTTCTCAACAGCACCCTGAACATCTCGCCAATTCCCGAGGAAAAGGGCCATCCTTCCACACCGACCATCACAGCAACAGCCATGGATCCTCCTGCCTCGGGTAGTGGAGAAAAGCGAGCATCAAGCCGCATCATGGATCGTGAAAAGGGGTCCACTATGCCGTCACCCATCACCCGCCGCACTCGCAATTCCCCACCGGTCCTCCCTGCTGCCGTCGCTAACCTAAGAAATCGCACCCCACAGATGACCCCTCGAAGTCCCAACACCAATCGGATAGAGCTTCGTGGACGCGGTGCTCAGCTCATCAATCTAATTCGGAGTCAACAAAACGAATCATCTCCGAAACCTTCCTCTGGCCCATCGCCACAGCACTCCTCGACTCCTAAGGCAGCTCCAGCAGTCCCAAGCGATAGAAGCCTGATGCTCCGAAAACTAGCCACATCCACAACTACCACATCACAATCCCCGGAACAATCCAAACCCCTCGATAAAGAGAAGGAAAAGAACTACCTGGTGTTCACAAAAGTCCTCCCATCGCCGCAAGCTTCCCCAGCGGCTAGCATCCTTAAACGGAAACACAACCAAGACGACAGCGGAGATGACATTGAGTCTCCTGCCAACAAACGGAAACGTGTCAGCTTCCACGATCCTCCGGTTTCGCTGACCAAGGAGTACATCCGTCAGGAGGAGGAATGCCGCTCACCTTCCATCAGTCGCTGTCTTCTGATGGCCGGCATGTCCCCATCGGACAAAGGGAAATTCCTGCTCCGAAGAAAGAGCAAAGCGGACAGTATGTCCGAGCTTGCCAAGTTCACACGAGGCTCCTTCACGATCCCCAACGAACCGGGCAAGGATGAAGAAGACGAAATCTCCTCCTCCCCGGAATCACTCGATGGAGAGTTCATGCTAAACACCACCGACAGCATGAGTGTCCTACAGGTGACAACCGGTGCCGAGGACATCGAAATGAAGGATTATCCCAATCCGGAAGTTGCCTCCTGCAGCGGATCTCAGCTCCCTCCTGCTGCCTCCATTCCGGTCGAACCAATCGAAGCAATCGAACCAATCGAACTACCGAAACGGACATCCCCTCGAAAAATATCTCCCAAACCAATAGCAGAAGAAGCCCCCGCAATCAAAAAGCCCGTCTCACCCATGCCAGCAACCGTTCCTGCTCCTCCACCGGCTCCGGTGGAACAACCGGATACCAGCATCCGCTTCCAAACGGAGGAGGAAATCCTCGCACATGTGATCTCAAAGTACCCGCTGGACACGATCCTGGAGCGATGCCTGGCGGCCGGCAAAACTCTCGAACAGCACAAGTCTGCCCGTTTGCTCACCCGGGAACTGTCCACGCTCATGTCGAAAAGCAGCAAAACACGTCACACCGTCCTGGACGAACTGTCCGAGCGCCATTCCGCCGAGTTCCTCGAGCATGCCGTACAGGAGAACTCCTCCACCATGGTGTGCCAGCGGTTGTCCATGACCACGATGACGGAATATATCTTCGAAAAGCTACGGCAATTGCCGCCGGAGGGTGGCAACCAGGAGGATCAAGAAGAACGTATCAAAATCCTGCAGATCATGTTCGACCAGCTGGCTCAGATGCACACGTGCATCGGCGGGGACGAGTTCGTTCGGACGAGGGAGAGATTCGTCAAGGCGGCAGTGTTTGCCAAGAGTCGGACCGACGTTATGGCACTGCTGGAGGAGTATTTCAACAAAGGCAGCAGCACCACCGACGCTGCGATGACGTGACCGAATGGTGCCCCCAAGAGGTAATCACGTTTTATTTTTATACTATAAGAGAGATTTTAGCCTAGTAGTGAGTTATATTTTAAGGTGTATTTTACGATATACATAGAGGAGTGAACCACCTTGTTGAATAGTGTAACATTCTTAGCGTCGTAGAAATGTACTATTTTCATCACTTTTTACAAGACCTATGTTATATTTAGATTAAATATAGCCATCGCCCGATCGATTGCGCAGTTGTGACGCGTAAACTTGTGGTTTGAATCGACTACATTAGACTAATACACTTAAATGAAAAGAAAACCTTTATCATAGACGTAACGTGACATGCCTTCTGGAAGCAAACCTAATATTTTAGAAATTCTCAATTTGGAACAAGAGGTACAAAAAAGTTGATGGAAACAGAAAATTTTATATAGGTAAGTGTCCACATTTGGCATAAGTTGTGAGTATAAGAAAAAGTTTGATTAATAATAAAATGTCAAGCAAACAACGGTAGGTAGTCGATTTCTGAGATGACATGCCCACCAAGAGAATCTTTGGTTGAGTTCATTAGGGCTGCTTGTGGATCGTTTCGTAAAGCGGTGTCAAAATTTTGGACATGGTACCCCCAAATTGTAACATCAAGCCACGCTCAGCAACTGCGTTCAAGAATACTCCACTTCTGACTGCCCTGCGGATTGAGCCGTGGCGTTAAAATACGCCAACTGTGGGGGTGCTCATCAAGACTCCGACAGAGACTGCTCCAAACGCGAGGACTTCAAACGCATCCGATGCAAAATGGACAAAACGCCGGCATTCAGCAAAGACAAGCGAATTCGCGGATGCAAATCGCCCCCCCCCCCTCCCTTAAGAAGCTTTCGGTGATTCTGCTGAACTAATGTCTGTAGTATCCAAATATGTCTATTGCTATTTAGGGTGTCGACTACCTGGAAAAACCTGGAAAGTCAGGGAATGTCAGGGAATTCTATTTATGATCTGGAAAGTCAGGGAATATCAGGGAATTTTAGTGTAGGTCAGGGAAAAAAATTATGTTGATCACATTGCAAAAAATCATGTGTGGAACTCATAAAAACAATCTTTGTAATTTTATCAGTGCATGACGTCAATCTTTTTGGGAAGATCCCGGGCATCAGATCTACTTGCTGCGTTTATGGACGCCCTTGCCGGTATCTCTTCGAACAAGTTGCTGCAAGTGTCCATGGATGGGCCCAATGTGAATTGAAGTTAGAGGTACAAAAAGGTGGCGAGAAGCTGATAGATCTGGGAAGCTGTGGGCTGTTTATTTTGCATAATGTATTCAAGGATAGTGTTCGCAGTATCAGTTGGGATGTTGTCCAATATTTGCGTGGTATCTACAATATCTTCAAAGATGTACCAGCAAGACGAGCGTTTATCACGATGTATTATGGATCTACCATGTTCCCGTTAAAGTTTTGCGGTCACCGAATGGTTGGAATATAGTGCTGCTGTTCAGAGGCAGGGCTGGTAGCGAGTCACTTTTTAGTGACTTGGTCGTTTGTTTCAAGTCAGTTACTAAAAAGTCTCTTTTTTTAAGGCCAAGTCACTAAAGTCTAAAGTTTTTCGTGTAATAAGTAACTATTTTCAACTTTTTTAGCGTAAATTTATTTCAAGATTGATTATTCTTTACGTTGCGAAGTTTAATCGTCTTTCTCTATGTATGGATTTCTATTCATTTTTCTGGATAAAATTACCTCAGTTTTCCAAGTGAGTATGACCAAAGTCTAAAAATATTCAATGTCTTGAAGTTTCGTATTCCATGTACGAATTTGAACTTCGAGAACATCAAGACAGATCAGAGAATCAAAGGGCCGTTCCAATAATTTCAAGGAAATATTAGAAACCTTAAAAAAGTTTCGAGAAGCTTAGTGAATTTCCGAAAACTTCAGCAAAGCTCCTAGAGAATTCCTGGAAATTTTATGGACATCCGGAAAACGTGAGAATTTTTTAAAATGTGAAAATTTAGCTTAGTTGGTTAGTTCGAACGAAGTTCCATTAATAAAAAAGCGAGAACTTTTAGCAAGAAGTGATATATTCTAGAAATTCCAGAGAACTAAATTTAGATATTTCTAGATAGTTTAATGATATTCAGCAAAGTTCCGACGAGTACTTCGAGGATGATCAGATAGCTTCAGAATAATCCCATTAACTTAAGCAAATTTGCAGCAACTTACAAGGAGTTCCGTGGAATTATAGGGTATTTCAAGAATTCTATGCTTGATCCTAAAACGTCAGAAGCGTCAGGGAATTATGAATATGTATCAGAAAATTTGCTGGATTATTAAACAAATTTAGAGAACTTCAGGTAAGCATAGATAAGTTCAGGGAAAAGCTAGTGTTAATAATGGTTATAATACTTAAGGAACATTGTCGAAACTTCAAGGCAAATTAATTAATTTCAGTAAAGTTGCAGGTTCTTAAAAATACTGATAAATTCAGGGTAGTCTAGAGAACAAAGAAAATCAGTTATCGTTTAGGCACCAAGAAAGTCTAGACTATTGAAGAAGTTTTAAATTAGTGTCGATAATTTAAGGGAAGTTTTATGAACTTCAGAAAAATCTTGAGAACTTCAGTGAAAATCAGAGAAATATATTATTATAATTTCGTTCTAATTCCATGAAAATTTCGGGAGCACAAAATTTCCATAAATTTAGAAAAATTTCGGAAACGTTACAGAAAAACGGTGGTCTTCAGAAACAAAAAAAAAATATTTATTTTTTTAAATTTATTTCTTACTAAAGATTAATCTACTGTCAATCTTAAAAGTTCAAAGTGGGAATGAAAATATCGAGATTAAATAAATGGTTGTATTTTAAAATTAATTATTTTCTTTAAATTTTCCTTAGTAAGAATTTTTTAAATTCTTTGAGACTTCCAGGTATTTTAAGGAAACAAAAAATTTCCTGAAGATTCCCGGTTTTCCAGATTTTTTGAAATTAATAGACACCGTGACTAATGCCGTGGGTTTGGTTATAAACTTTCTATTGAATATGTCGCTTTAAAGGTTCATATCGTACATAAGTGTTAGGTCTTAGGTTCAATTTGATCAATAAGATCGCAAAAAGGAACGACTGGACGTTTTTTGGCACAGGTTATTGGTCGGCGTATTCAGAACTATTGTTGGTTGTGACAATGATTAGCTGCTTATTGCATGGCAACGCCAATGCAGAGAGAGGTTTTTCGGTAAATGCAGAATATCTTTTTGAAAACATGAGGGAAGAGTCAAGGCCCAAGCGCAATGACAGCGGAACGGAAGTGGTAGCGGAAAAGCCCGATCTGAGTAAGCCTATTTGTCGGATTGAAAACTAGTTAGAATCAAATCGACTGCGGTTAGGCATCTTGATGTCATTTGTGACAATTGTCAAACTTTCCGTTTCCGTTCCGCTTCCGCCCACATTGCGTTTGGGCCTTCAGTCGTAGCGCGACGTTAGATCTATGATGGTGTTACTCATGCAGGCGGGTTGGAAAACTTACAAATTTTGAATAAACTTATTCAGCGAGTTCGAAAAATCGCATTCGCTTTCCATGTAGACAAGGATCGTCGTATGAAAGAAGCTCTCGATTCCGAAAACTCAAGATGCTCAAAAAGAAGCCGAGAGTTTGCAGGCGAAAATTGTTCTGCTCAAATGATAAACATTTTTAAAAGTAATCCGAAAATGAAAATAAACACATATTCAACTTTCAATATCTCGTTGTAATGTGAACTCACTGTTAATGTTAATGATAATTAAACTTAAATTATGTTGCCATATCTGTGGTTGTCATATGGAGTTCCAGAGAGTACGAAACTGACTAATGCATGAGTAGTGCATTCTCAGGTTCGGTAGCCAAAGCAAGAATAAATCACTGCTCTGCTATTTTACAATAATTTATATGTTAAGAGAAAGGATCGTCTACGGGTTGATTTTTATTTGGCTGTGAAAATTGAGAGCTTGGTGATATTGATTAAATATTCCTATTATTACTTAGTAATGATAAGTGAGCCTAGTTGTGAGCAGTAATTATTCATTATTATATTATAATATGTATTTATAGCCCTAGGCCTATTCACATCCTTCGTAGGTAGTCGGTCATATGTTCTGTAAAAATTGTATTAGTATCAAGTTCTGTTGTACGTGCCATGAGTATGCTATTCTTGATATCTTCGAAAGCTTACCTTGCTGCTCATTTTAAACTAACCTTAATTTACACTACGGTATAATAAAGCACATCACGTTGTAGCTTCTTAGGTTAAAATAACAAAGTTTTGATGACTGGAATATTTCTGAAAACCGACTGGAAAGTCAGGGAAAGTCAGGGAATTTTATTTTCGACTTTGAGTCGACACCTTGTATTATTAAAAGATTGTTTTTTTTTACTTTAAATGAGTCCATTCTGGAAGCAATCTGCCTGTTCAGATCGGTCATTTCACGTTTTTTGCCCAGATCTCCAGTCCTCTGAAACTGGCGTCTACGAACATTTCTCAACCGAATCATTAATTGGGTGTGGGAATCAATAGCAACAAACTATCCCCTCACAGGAACTTGTTGAACGTATGCTTCGTCAGCCATGGATATGGCCTGTTGGAGTCCTTCCAACGTCCGGTCGATGTCATATCGAGCGGTGGATTTTCATCGATGTTGCTGTCCACCATTCGTCCGTACTGCACCCAGTTGACATGGTGGTAGTCTTTACGCAGGCAGCTTCTAGCAGGAACCACGTTGACACCGACTTCAGTCAACACCGGTTGGTGGTCGGAGCTGAGATCGTTGTGCGCCTCCGGCTTGGATAGTCCGATGTGGTCCGATGTTTGACAGGAAAAAGTCCAGGGTGGATGGATATCCCGCCGGAGATATGAATGTTGGTTCGTCCGGAAATTGCATAGTGTACAGTCCATGTTGTGCGTGGTCGAACAATAGACATCCGTTCCGGTTCCTCTGGTAGTTCCGCCAAGCTTCATGGCGGGCGTTCAGGTCGCCCCCAAAGATGAATCGGGAGCTAGTACGGGTGATGGCGGTCAGGTCCTTCTTGAATTGGATTCCTAGTCCATTGCTTGCGGTACACTGGCGTGGGCCGTAAACAGCGATAAACCGGACGTTTCCAGTTGGGGATTCCACCTCTACACTAACGGCCTCGATGATAGAAGTGCGGATGTGGGGCAGAGTGCAAAACTTGATTTCCTTTCTGACGATGGCCGCAACACCACCCCCCTGGAGCTGGTGCGATCAAGCCGGATAATGTTGTGGTCAGGCAACCAGCAGCTGTCGCCGGACTTTAGATGGGTCTCGGTTAGAAGGCCCACGTCGATGCTGTGCTTGCGGAGGAAGTCGGCAAGCTCAATCTTTTTTGCTCTTACAGAGCAAGCATTCCAGGTGACGATAGTTAGCGGTTTAGACGCCATACTGGATGATGAACTTACCGAGCACTTGGATCTGTTCGGGCTTATTGCGGCACTTACGAAGAACACCGGA